TATAGAAGACTCCACACTGTTTTGGTTTTGCATTATTTGAATTGGCCATTTTCTTTGAACTTGCACCAAAATTATGCTTGACCATGTTGCATGATGCCTTAGCTTAATAAACCTCTTTAATTGGTTGCAATATAAGCTTGTTTTGGTCTGTTTTGCTGCCATAGGATTAGTGTTGTGCATTTGGATTTGGACCTAAATTGAATTAGATTTGTTTTTCTTGAATTGAATAAATGCATTTGGCTTTGACTTGAATGATTTTGGTTGAACGTGCCATAATTTGCATCTATTGTTTGCGTGAGTATTTGAGTGTGGATCCTACCCATCTTGTAAGGTTTGTTGCATCAAATCATGCTTTATTTCTCTCGACTTAAACATGGGTACAGTGCATCAAATTCTGCAATAGTTTGGACTAATATGAGAAATGCTTTAGTATTATGTAGGTTTGGTGGAATGGAGTCTAGGAAAAATGATCTCTTGAGGCCCAAGATATGAAAAATGATGATTTGAAGCATAAGATAAAAGGAAGAAGTCAAGGAGTCAAGGTCTTGGTTAAGTGGTCAATGGTCAACATAGTTGACCAAAAGTCAACTATATTTTTTTGTAGTTTTCTTTTGTAATAGCTTTTTGTAACTCGTAATTTAACCAATCTTGTGATAAAAAACTTCTTGTAATCCTTTTTATTAATGAAACTTTCATTATATGTTTCAATACCTTATTTTTCTCATATCTTCAAATAGTAGCTTGTAATGCCAACTTGAGTTTGAAAACTTGTTCAATAAAACCTTGTATGATACCCTCAATGAAACCCTTCTTGATCAATGCTTCCTTATTTCATAAATAATTCATGATAAGCTTCAAAGAACTAAGAGGCTCATCATTGGATGAGAAAGATCAAACCTTAATCCAATGATCCAAGATCACTAGAGCACATCAGCCTTAAAGATCTCAATCTATACCTCATAACCTTTGATCCAAAATGATAAAAAATTCATATGAAGTGAATTGATTCTAGTTGAATTGAGTTTGGTAGAATTGATTTTATCAGAATTGAGTTTATCAGAATTGATTTATGTTTGGGTATATTTATGTAAAAGTGAATTGAACAATAAATTTAAGTGTAAAAATCATCCAGAATCAATTCTGGAGGCAGACACTACAAATTCTAGCTTCAAGTAGAATCAATACTTGATACATAATCAATTCTACTTTTGCCTAACCAAACATCTCAAAATCACCAGAATCAATTCTACACCTCTATAATTGCTTTTGGCCCTTCTAAAAGTCAGATCAAACATGCACTTAATATGAATAATGAACACAAGATCCATGTATGCACAAATGAATAGAGATATAAGCCAGATAAATTGATTAGGTTTAAGCGAAGTTTTGGGGTATGACACAAACTAATAAGGTTTTATTGACTTTTTTCCTAGGCATTTCGAGGTGAAGGATTTGTGCACGAAGGCGATTCTTCTGCGAGGACTTAACAAAGACAATATGTACATGCTTAAACCAATTGCACCTATCTCTCAAACCTCTTTTGCTATCTCCAACACCTTACTCAAACTGGCACCATAGACTTGGTCATCCTGCACCACCAACTCTTCTTCAACACTAAATTCAAACAAGATTTACTATTTTAGTTCTCTTAATAACTATTCAGATTGCCTTTTTAATAAGAGCCATAATATACCATTCTTAGTGGCCTCAATTTCTAATTCTTTCTATAAGAAATTTTGTACTTTTATTAATGGGTTCCGATTCTGGTTAACTCCATTGATGTTTTTAACTATTATGTATGTAATTTTCATTTACCACTTTTACAAGTATATGTTTGGTTTTATCTTCTAAAGCTCTAATCTGATGTTGCCATTTTATTTCCAATTTTTAAGAACTTGGTAGAAAACCAATTCAATTCCAAAACTTAAACACTTTACTTTGATAATGATGGAAAATATATCAAACTTCGACCATTCTTACAAACTAATGGTATCTTTAACCTAAAAACATTTGGACGTCTTGTTTCTCTTGGCATAAACCATATACAAACAACAAAATTCAACCAATGTTAAACCAAGCATATTTCTTGGATATAGCCTGTCACCGTGTACCTTCATTTGTTTCAACTTTAAAAATAATAAACTCTATCACTCCAGGCATATTCAGTATTTAGAAGAAAATTTTCCTCATTACACAAATTCTTCCAAGTTGTCTCCAATCTCTTATTCCCCTCTATCTTTTCAACATTTCTCCCATTCCTCATCATTCATTACCTTTAACCTTAGAGATGTCCATTCCAACTCTAATTGTCGTTGAGTTTCCTCAAAGGCAACACACAACCTGAAAGAAAGTTGTGATCTAAAATGCAGCGGAAATTAAAATTTTTCTTTTAGTGATCCTTACGAATGGATAATGTGCTTATAAACGAAAACTTTAAATGAAAGAGTGAGAGAAAATACGGCTAAGATTTCAAGACCTAATTTTCATCAAGTGAAAATGCTTCAGCACAAGGGTTCTATTTATAGAACCACTTGTGTGGACTGTAAGCTAAAAGCCCAATTAAGGATGCAAGCTAAAAGCCCAATTATACCGTATATCACTTAAGTGTGTGGTACCATATTACATTCTATATTCCACTTAAGCGTATCGTACCTTACGATGTTCTACGATTCTCATAAGTACACTATACCTTATGGTGTTCCTTATTTACTTTATCTCTCATCAACCTGTCCTTATGTGTGTGACCTTGTAGGTTTTCGCGACGTTGAAAATTATATTAAATCACATGTTTAACGTAATAAACAGTGAGCAGTATCTAGCAACACATCACTGCTACCCAAGTCACGAAAATGTCATGTGATCTGACAAAACCTTTTCGTGATAATATTTGTGTGTACAATTACCCGTCTGCCCTTATGTCTATATTAAACACAAAGGCATAGACCGTGTTACCCTTGTCCAGTTTAATATTGGACCCTTAGACATTTATCCTATTATACAGGATGGGAAAATTCCATCTAGGTCACTCATGTCCCTCATCATGTTTTGTGAAGTACCCATCAACTGTCTTTATGGTCATCCAATTATGGATAATGTTTGATCAGTAATAAAGTACTTAAATCTACATCTAGGATCCATAGTGGTTTCAAGTTGAAAGGTGGTATACATCATTGTCACCATGAGAATAACTTATGACACCTTATATAAAATTCTATGTAGTATTCTCATAACGGGTCAATCCAGTATAAATATTACTCCTAATATTCATATTTATGTCAAGACTTGATAACTTCTTATCCATGATCCATGAGATGTGATCATCAGTCTATCTACATAATAATCCCAATGCTTTAATGTTATTCCACTTCACAATAAAGTTTGCTTACAGATACTTTAAGAATACTGTCCTTATATTTAATGAGATCTCATAATTAAGTCAGACTTAACATTTCATTAAACAAACGAACTATTCTAGAGACTTTATTATTTTAGAAAAGCAAACATAATAAAGAAATGTCTTTTATTATTAATAAATAATTCAATACAAATACCAAAAGTCTTGGCCTCTAGGATTTACACCAACACAACCACCACACAACCAACTGATTCTCAATCAAATTCCTTAATCCAAAATAATACACCATCGTCCACTGAACCAATGAGTTCCTCTTGCACAAACCCAACCACACTATCATCCCCACCTCAATCAAATGCACATGTTTCATCTTCATTTGAGTCACTTGCAGCGGATGATCACATGATCATACGTGAGAAAGATGGAATATTCAAACCAAAAAAGCTTTTTTGTGTCTAATGGCACATGGTCTCTAGTTCCTAATCAACCACACTTCAATGTCATTGGTAATAAATGGGTGTTTCCGGCTCCATCCCTTTATTTCAGCATCGATTATTGGCTAAAATATTATAATAACCGTTGGCCAATATATTGTGCCGACATGTCTCTTTTTACTAGTCTATTTTAATTACTAATAACTAACTATACATTTGTTATAAACTTGTACAATATATAACTTGAATATATACATCTTTGTTACTTTTTACCCCAATCCATATCATGAAGAAGAATTAGGAATGGTTTGAATTGGTTGCGTCCCTATTCTACGCATATAAACATAAGTTGCATTCAACCTAAACATTTAGGCAAGCTTTGTTTCGGTAAATTGTTAGGGGTTGTTTCTTGAATATGTGTAACTAGTTTGGTGTATTCCCACAGCATGCCTTATGTTTGGTGGTTGATATTATTAATACATTATCTTTTGGCTTTTCAAAAAAATACTAACATGTAAACACCATATAACTGAAACAGGAAGTGACTGGTGTTGAAACAATGTTGACCTGAGCATATATCCTAAAATAAGTCTCAGACTAAGAATCACAGGCCCATCTGATTCTCTTGTTTGGCACACATCATGTCAAAGCATTGCACATAAATTGCAAAATAAACCTCTGTTCCACATAGCATAAGGAGGAACAACACCACATCAGATATCCAAACCAATCGGTAAACTCACTAAAAAGCCAAAACTTACACCATGTCCCATCTAAAGAGAAGAAACTGAATGTACATTCTGTACTTTACTTACAAGATACATAAACTAAGAAACATTCATGTCCCATCTCTGGATATGATATGTTGCTTACAATAGAGAAACATTTTTTTATGATGAACCCCACACAAAATATTATTCACACATCCAAACAACTTCGAATCAGATTTTCTATCTAAACTTCTCCATCTCTATTTCTCTCTCACAATGGGTTGGACACTGAGATATTCAATGAATATTTATTTACTATTGAAAAACATGAGATTACAATGCTATAGAATTAGCCATTTCATACTGGCAAAGGTACTAAAGAAAAAGAGCATCAGAGCAACGTCTTCAATTGCCTGATACATGTTATTCCTATTGACCCAAGAAAAAGTCCTTTATAAAAAATAATACAAAATGAAGTGTTTACTTCTTGTGCATTTCTCCTCATTCACAAGCCTTCTCCCAATCATCTACTACATCATTAACTTCTGAACTGTCTAAGGCTTTTCCATGCTGGTGTTCTAGATTTGAACCACCATCAACAGATTCAAACTTTGCCATAGCACTATTCTCCGTTTGTTTCATGCAAGTGTCAGCTTTAACGGAAGCAGCAGCAGATGAACTTGAAGACCACTTTTTATCTAAGACACTCCAAGGATTTGCTGAAGTAGATATGGGTGCTTCTTTCTTCCAAATAGATGACTGGATATTCGCAGAACCAGTAGCCCCCTCCTCATCATCCCAAGAATCTTCCCTCCAACTTGGTTCTATAACAATAGCCTTTGTCAAGAGATTCCCTTTCCATGCTGCCAGGGTCCCTCCTTTCACTGTCCCAGCTCCTCCCCAGGCATTTGTAACGGTAGATACTACAGATGCCCCTACCTTTGGAACAACCACAATAGCTCCCTGATAAACACTTCCATGATCTAACCTTCGCATTGCAGCTGCAGCTCGCGCAGGATCATTAAAAACAGCCAATGCATTTTTGTCATCTAACCAAACAAGTTCGCACTCACCACCAAATCTCAACACCAACGCACTGATATCTGCTTGTCTTGGTAATTCAGGAAAAGAGACGACAAATCGAGGATCCATGTCTACCAAAGGATCAAATGCAGGAGGAGGATGTGTGGTTGTAGTACCCTTAATCCCTAGCACGCGTGATGGAGCTCTTGATTTTTTGACAACGTGAACAACTATAAATTGCTTTGGCTCTCGACCAGCTGCATTTATTGCAAGCTTCCATCTCTCAGCAATCATCCTCACTGCATCTCTCTTATCTTTTAGCATGGGACAGAAAACATGGGCTTTTAGACCATGTGTAGTTCCTCTGCTCTTGCCAAGTACTAAATACTTGCATCTCTCCTCAATGGATAAAACCCATTTACTATCACGCCTCAATAGATCACCAAGTAATTCAGACTGAGCAACAGAAATCTCCCCTAAATGGAAAGAATCTAAGTTTGGAGCGGTAATCTCAAAAGCATTTGCAAGTACCTTTTTACGCTCCAACTTAGCACACTCATCATTACACATCAGTTTCCGTTGTCCCAGGGAAACTCTTTTGCCATTTTCATCCAATGGTTGAAGTGGCATAGGCAACTTTTGAACAATGGAAGTTTCATGTATAACATCAGCACCACTACCACCAGCATCACAAGGGACGTTAGTTGTTATTCGGCCACAAGTACAACTGATTGTGACAGTGAATTCACATCTTCTATCTGGACATGAAGATGAAGGGTGACAAGGAGCAGTACATGTATGCCGGCAGTCTCTCCTTGGAGCACCACATGTCTGCCCACAAGAAGTTCGATTACCTTGCACAGCAGGCTGAATATCACAAGGCGCGGAGTGACATGTTCTCCCACAAGCATGTAAACCACACTGTCTAGTCTTCCCGCAGAGCTTATTACATCGAATATCCTTTGAGGAACAAGGTATGTTCCTAAGAACTACGTGTCCGCCAGTACATTCTCTTGCAACAGGCACCGAACAAGGAGGGCAATCTCCATAATGACAGCTATGGGAGGCTGTGTGGCCACAAGGCTGAGGAACTGAACATGGAAGCGGACATGAGGGCAGTGGAGTACCACATGGTAATGGAGGAGGGATTGAAGTCTTGCCACAAGCACATGCCAAATCAGTGAATATAGTTTGAAGACAAGGTGGACAATGACCACTGTGACACAGGGAATCACACGCATGCTGCCCACAGCGTAATTTCTTTCCACATGAAATGGAACAGAGGTGTAGATCCCAATCTGCATTTACAATATTATTTGGATCAGAAAATGGACAACACCGTTCACTACACCGATGCCTTCCACAGTTCTTTTTCTTGTCACAAGGCTTTTCACATGTAAACTTCTCATCCTCCGTTGTTGTCTTATAGCACTCCACCATTCTGGAAGTTGAGCCACACCGACACTTCTGGGAGACTAAAACCAAACAAGGAGAGCAATCCCCATCATGACATGTCTCGTTACAACTATGCATCCCACAGGCAAGGGACTTGCCACATAGTTTTGAACAGGTAGGAATTGGGTCTAAACAAGACTGACGTTCCTCTTTCAATCTAGTTTTCCCGCAGCAACACATCTTAACACGGGCTGGCAACAACTCACACTCCGCACAGCTGCCTGGATGACAGGTCTCCATACAGACATGATTGCCACAGCTTAGTTTCTTTCCACAAGTGGAAGCACAAGAAAAAACTCCACCTTCTGCTTTGATTTCACCCTTCACAGCCATGTCCCCACAAAGAATAGCCTCAGACGTTTTACTGCAAAAGCAAGAGGCATCCATTGGAACACGGCAAGGATCACATGGACCAATATGACAAATTTGTTCACAGCGATGGCGCCCACATTGAAGAAGCTTTTGACATTGTTGGCCGCATGTAAGAAGAGATTGGGGTTCAGAACAGCGAGTTGTAATAGTAATCTTGCCACAAGGGCACAGACGGGGAGGAGCAAATGCTTTGCAAGGAGGACATGGACCAGGATGGCATTGCAAGACACAAACATGAGGGCAAAGATCCCCGGTCTTCTGAAGAGGCTTCCCGCACAGTTCTCCGCATGAATGCGGGGTGAGATAGAAATCGGATGGAGGGTCGAACCTCTTCCCACAGAAGCACAAGTACCTAATGGAATTGGATGAGGTTTGCTGCACAGCTTGACAACCGGGGCATCGCCAATGATTAGTGTTGTCAGCAGATGCAGATGATGTTGGTGCACGAACCCACTTGTTAGTACAACTGAGGTGAAAGATAGAGTAGCAACTGGAGCATGACCAGATAGGCGCAGACCTCCAGACAGTGTCATAGCAAATCATGCATTCGACAGTGCCTTTGGTGAGCTTGTCCTGAATCTCTTGCAGCAGTTGAGGTAAATTTAAATCAGAATCCTCCCGACGGGTACTCCTTGTTGAATTGGAAGGACCATTGTGATGGTGGGTGTTGGAGGATGATCTAGGCCTCCGTTGCAAGCTCATAAGTGGGAGTGATTCTTGTGCAACTGAAACAGATTAAATTAAGATATCAGTAAGAATTAAGAATTGTAATGGTAGAAATAAGATTTTAAAAAAAGTAAAACATGTTTGATTGTAGAAAAGAAGAACCCTAATGAAATAATATCAATGAATTTATGCTAAGAGGTATGAATGAATAATGTAATATTAAAGAAGAGGTAACCTGATTGGGAAGGAGGAAGAATATTGGTAGTTGAGTCGTGGGTGTGAGAGAAAAGAAGAGAAGCACCTTCCACTTGTCTGCTAGTAGTTGATTGAGTTGAGAATGAAGTGAAGATGTTAGTAGTTGAGATTGGGTATGAAGTGAAGATGAAATGAAAGATGAGAGAACGGTATGAAATGTATATATAGTATTGCATTTGCATTTGCATTCTACACACACAGCCGGTATAGTTGACTTGACTATCCTTGGCGCTCAAGCAAAACAACTTGCCTGCCTGGCCCCACTTTCCTTGCTCCTTACGAATATACTATATACATATTAGTACTATTCCTAGTCCATGGATATTTTAATAGATACAAAGTTACTATGCATTCTTTCATTATGTCAAAAAGGTCTTTCCAAATTAATCCACCTTCCTAAATGCTCATCTTTTAAACTATAATCTAAACATCAACACATATAATCAACATAAAATTAAACATTCTTTTAAATTATATCATATTCAACATTATAATACATCAATAACAATTAAACACCAATAAGGTTACCGAAAAGATGAACTAGTTACTTCATATTATTCAATCAAGCATGTTTTGATTTCATAAAACTTTTTTTTAAAAAAATTACAAATAAATTTGATAAAGTGACATCTAATTTGATTGATTCTTTAACACAATATTGAGAACATGACTCTGATTGTAACTCGATTGGTCCTTTAGTACAATATAGAGAACATGATTTTCACATCGTCGTTTTAAAGATATATGTCGATGAAGCAAACACATTTATCGTCATTGATTGAGGGATGACAATACTTAATATTGACCATTCTTCTCGTGTCGCAGTGGTTAAGACGACAATTAGGTTGGTCTTTCATATAATACAATGTAACATCGACATTGATTTAAAAAAAAAAAGAATTCGCTTATCGTAGTAAACTATATCTAGTTTAGTGTTCATTTTGACTAATTTTGTGTTATTAAGTGCATATAAACAAAACACACCATTTTATATCCACCTCTTATGCATTATGTAGTATTTGGATCGAACTTCAGTCTAGCCAATGATAGCTTCATGGTTCGACTGAGTTGTGCATACTGCACTCGAAGTTTGTTCAAGTATACAGTAGTCGTAGATGCGCTTGTTGAAGTTGGAGTTTGTTCTAACATACAATTGTTTAAGTTAGTTTGTGTATTTTATTATGCAGTAGTTATGTATGTTATGTATGTCATAAATTCCGGCTTAATGCCTTTGTCATTGTATTTGATACTATATATAACAGTGTCGGTAATTACAGGTAATTATAATTCATAATGATTAATTACAACTCATAATAACTAATTTTCTATTCTATGAATGTAACTTATTCACAACAAATGTGTTTGATTATTTCCTGGTTAACACCCCCCTTAAATTGATGCGGCTGGTCAAGGGGCATCAATTTACTAACAAGAAACTGATGTCGTGGGCGTGGAACATCCTTGGTAAGAATATCTGAAACCTGCAACTGAGTACTGACGCGAGGAAGTGATATTATTCGATCATCGTAGGCCTCACGTATTGAATGACAATAAACTTTGATATGTTTGGTGCGTTCGTGAAAAACGGGATTTGCAACAATGTGAATGACACTTGTATTATCAGCATAAAGGGAAGTTGACTCTATTTGGGAAAATCCAAGTTCAGCCAACAGGCCACGAAGCCAAAGTATTTCTGAACAAGCAGCAGACATGGCACGATACTCTGATTCAGTAGAAGATTTAGAAACTCTTGCTTGCTTCTTACTTTTCCAAGTGATCAATGAAGAACCAAGAAACATGCACCAACGGGTAACATATCGATGAGTATCAAGACACCCTGCCCAAACAGCATCACTATAAGCACTCAACTGAAGAGAAATTCCAACGAAAAAGAATAATCTACGGTGAGAGGTTCCCTTTAAGTAGAGAATTATACGACGAATCACAGCCAAGTGAAGATGGAGAGGAGAATGCATGAATTAACTTATTTGTTGAACAACAAAAGATATGTCAGAGCGAGTAATAGTCAAGTAGTTGAGGCTACACGCAAGTTGTCGATACAATAAGGGATCAGGCAAAAGATCACCACCATCATCACGGTGATATTAACATTAACCTCAAGAGGAGTATCTACCAGATTAGCCGATTCGAGACCGGCCATAGAAATAAAATATGTAGCATACTTGTGTTGATTGAGAAAGATTCTCTTGGATATAGAATGAACCTCAAGACCAAGAAAATAATGTAGATTATCCATATATTTCATATGAAATAAGGCTTGTAATTGTTGCTTAAGTCGTTGAATGGAAGTAGGATCCAAACCAGTAATAACTATATCATCAACATACAAAAGAAGCAGAACAATACATGCAGATGTGCTATGAATAAATAAAGATAAATCATAATGACTCTAAGTAAAAGATAATCCAAGTAGAGTGGAGTAAACTTTCTCGTACCATGCTCTAGGTGCCTGTTTCAAACCATATAAGGAGCGTTTGAGCTTACACACGCCGTTAGATGAAGAGAATAAGCCTTGAGATGGAGTCATATAAATATTTTCTGTCAGGTCACCATGAAGAAAAGCATTCTTCACATCTATTTGATGTAGAGTCCACCCGTTAGAAGCAGCTATAAAGATGATCGTGCGGACAATTGTCATTTTGACAACCGATGCAAATGTCTCATCATAATCAATTCCATATTCCTGCTTGTTTCCTAATGAAACCAAACGAGCCTTGTAACGATTGAGAGACCCATAAGAGTTCAATTTCACAGAATACACCTATTTGCAACCTATAGGTTTTACATCAGGAGGGCAAGAGACAATATCCCACGTGAAATTCTCTTAAAGAGCTTGAAGCTCTTCATTCATTACTTTTATCCATCACACATCCTTAACAACCTGTGAGTAACAAGTAGGAGTATATATATACTAGAGAGTGTGGGAGTCACAGAAGTATGTGAGGAATCACACCTGTCTGGTGAATATCTATCTGGTGCGTGACATATTCGACCAGAACACCGTGGGTTAGCCGGTACAGTATTAGGTGACGGTTCAGTATCGGGAAGGGGTGCGGAAACATGCTGCCTGTGTTTTCTAACATATACATGACTTGGTTTATAACGTTCTATAGATTGAGGTATAATAGAAAACTTAGGAAGAGTAACAATATCATTAATGGTAGGAGAAACACAGGGAAACATAAACTGATTATCAAAAAATGTCACATTTCTAGAAATGCGAAAATGATGGTTAGTGACATCATAACACATAAATCCCTTATGAGAGTGACTATATCCCATAAATGTGTATTGAACAGATTATGCTCCAAGCTTATGCCTTTCAAAAAGAGGCAAGTGAATAAAACACACACACCCAAAAGTATGTAAAGCACTATAATCAGGATGAACTTTAAAAAGACGAAAGAAAGGAGAATCAAGTTTAATAACCGTAGAAGGAAGACAATTGATCAAGAAGACAGTTGTGGAAAGAGCCTCTACCCAAAATCGGGATGGTACAGAAGCTTGGAGAAGCAATGTGCATGTTACATCAAGTAAATGACGATTCTTACGTTCTGCCATACCATTTTGTTAAGGGGTATTGGGACAAGATCGTTGCAACAAGATGCCTTTTTGTTGAAGGTATTCCTGAAACGTGTGAGACATGTACTCACCGCCAGAGTCAGAGCGGAAAATTTTCACACTTGCTTGAAATTGAGTTTCAACATATGTCAAAAATTTCTTAAACATAGAAAATACTTCAGATTTAGACCGAAGGAAATATATCCAAACAAAGTGACTATAATCACCAATAAATGTGACAAAATATTTATAGTGACAATGAGAAACTACAGGAGACATTACCCCATACATCACTATGAATCATTTCAAAACAAGTGGAAGCACGATAAGCACCAGACAGAAAAGGAAGTGTTTTACTCTTAGCCAATTTGCAAACAGGACATGGAATAGAGGCATTAGAAACATTTTTATTTCCCAACAAACCATTTATAAATAAATGGGACAAAACAACAGAGTTTGGATGACCTAATTTTTTATGCCAATCCTCATAAGAGTTTAAAACATTATTACAAGCAAGAGATATATGATTAGAAATAAACTGGAGTGGAAACAATCTTCCCACTTTAGGCCCCTTCGCGATCACCTTCCCCGATACCTGCTCCTACACAAGACAACTATCACGAGAAAAGTTAACATCATAATTTTTATCTACCAATTGACCAAGAGATAATAAATTAGACGCAAGTCCAGGCGATCCAAGCACGTCCTGAAAATCAGAATTTATGTCGCCAATATCAGTAATAGATAAAGTATTACCATCAGCTATTTGAATTTTCTGATTACCATGATAAGAGTGTAAATTGTGCAAATACTCTGAAGAACCTATCATGTGATTGGATGCACCTGAATCAAGAAACCATGGGCGAGAAACATTAGAAGACTTACCCTGAATTCCCAAGGCCGAAAGAGTAGAAAGTACCATTTGTTGAATCAATTCAGGTTGTATACCACTATTGTTTGATACGCCATTAGTGGAAGGATCGACCACATGATTTGTAGTTGCATGGAATGCCTGTGCTGAACATTGTATTGGTCGTGGAGGATGTGCAGGACACTCAGAGATAATATGACCCTGTTGCTTGCAGTAATTATAAAACTTCTTATTGCAGCTACGAGTAATGTGACCAATTTTTTTTGCAAGAAAAGCACTGAACCTGTCTCATATCACGACTTTTACCTTTACCTTGAGCAGCATATGCAACCGTCACGGACTTGGAAATGGTAGCATCATGAGACATGGCTCCTTGAGTAATAAGACGTTTTTCCTCCCTTAGAAGTTCTCCAACACATGTATCTAAAGAAGGAACAAGATTCCTATTCAGCAAGGCACCTCTGACAACTTCAAATTCTGGACGTAATTTCATGAGAAATTGACCTCGTCCACTTGTGTTGTAAACCTCTTGAATAACTGTGAGAGAGGTCTTGGGAACATTAGCATGTATAATAGCAGAGTGTTCTTCCCAAGGATTTAAAAAACCAGAATAGTATTCTCGAATAGGCAAATCACCTTGTTTGTAGTTGGCTATTTCTAACTCCAATTGAAAACGTTTTACTGAATTTTCCTGGTTGTAAATGCGCTTCAAATAATTCCACATTTCTTGAGAAGTTGAAAAAGAGCATAAATTATTGATCATCTGAGGATCAATACTGTTGAGAATCCAAGTGATAATTTGAGCATCTTTAGTTTTTGACGCATCTAAAGCAGTTTTCTCCGTCAGTGCCTTAGAAACATCATCTAGATGATTCCATAATCCCTTTCCTTTAACATACATCTTGAACTGAAATTCCCATGCAGAATAATTTTTGCCGGTAAAACGGATACAAAAATTCTTTTCATTTTCCATAACCGTGATATTATAACCCCAGGAAACCCCACTTAGTAGCCAATGAACGGTGAAGAAACATGCACGATCGAGAAATATCAACAATGAAAAAAATCATGAAACGACAATTGAAATATTTCAATTGAGAAATGCGATTTCGAGAAATACAAACAAGAAACACGATTTCAAGAGTGACACAGTGGGGTGTCACTATTCATCCAAGAGAACAAGGATTTACAGGTTAGATTGAACCTTCAGATACCATGTCACAAATTTTGGCTTGATGCCTTTCTCATTACATTTGATACTATATATAATAGTGTCGGTAATTACAGGTAATTATAATTCATAATGACTAATACAACTCATAATAACTAATTTCCTATTCTATGAATGTAAATTATTCACAATAAATGCGTTTGATTATTTCCTGAGTAATAATGTATGTCTGTGTGTCATTTTAATACGGTGGGAGAACTGACATTTGGTTTTGCATTTTATCGCAAATGTTGCGGATAGCAAGAATCACCCTCGACTTTTCTTTTATCCAATAAAGGAAAGAGTGAAAAGAATAAGAAAGAACTTTTGAGATTTTTCTGAGTATGGGGGGTAGGTTATGAAAATGGAAGGTGTTAGCACCCTTTCATCTATAGATATCTACAGACTCTTAATCGCTAGCTCACTTTGAAAATGCTTTGTGTTTGTGTTTTTTAAAAATATTTTGAAAAATTCCTAAGTGCGGAA